ATGCGTGCGTAGGTTAAATTGTTGATGAGGAAAGAACGTACTATATAGGGAAAAAAGTTGAAGAAGAATTTATGGATACAATGGTTTAATTCAAGTGAATGGTGTCACCTGGTCTATTTAATTACATCAACTAAGAATTTTTTTTTTTTTTTTTTTTTTTGCTTTTTATTATCCAAACAGTCTTGGCTATAGACTGTTAAAATTTTGTAAATTGTGAATAGTGGAACATACTCAAAAAACAATTTTAAAATATAGATAACAGGTGCAAACATTCTCTCTTTTAAATGCTTGGCAAGATTTAGCAAGGCTGTACATAAATAATAAAAAAGAAACATGGTGAAAAAAAGAAATTACGGGATCTCCATAATACGCACTATATTTAACTTTTTACAAATCGATAATACATTTAAATTTGGAACTGTTACAGCCATTTTAATTATGAACATTAGCAAACTTCTTACTGAGAGAATTGTTATGCAAATTAGCAATTATCTCAGCTTCTTTTAGTGCACATCCCAGAGCTTAAAAAAATAGCTCCTAGACGCTTTGACCTTTTGTTTTGAAATTTTCACAAATGATTGACAATGTGTTTATCATCGGGGCATTGTTTTTGGTTGAACAGTGTTACAACAATCGTACATACAACTAGCCTGGGTGTTAATTTATGCATAAACTTGAAGTAGTGAAATTTGGGCTGCTGCCCTGCAAAATTGACAACTGGTAGACAGTTTTCAAGACGGCGATTTCTTCATAGTAAACAGATGTACCCATAAACCAATTTTGACAGGAAACAGAAGCATGGTTTAGGAGCTATTTTTTAAAATCACTTTTGACCAAAAAAGCACATTTTTGTGCACATTTCAAACTACAGTGTCCAGGAAGACCTAGATTTCTACCCCAAAACATATAAAAAGTTTCCCAAAAGTCTAAAACAATTTCACATTGGCAGAATAGGTGTAACAGTGTCTCTTCATGAGAAGAACAAAAGGTACACCGGTCAGAAACAGCCCTGGGTGGTTTCATCTTATGTAACACAGTATTCGTGATAAGAATGTTGTGAATTATTTTGAACTGAAATTCTCTAAGCCGCGTGTCTATAGTTATCAGAAGAGGTAGTTGATACACAGACTGCCAGCTTAGTAAATTAGAGATATTTAGTAACACTGTGAAGAATGTCCCAGAGCTAGGGGAAATAAATTTATAGTCCACTATACTTTGACTAACATTCCTAGTTGTGCAGTTTTTAATTTCCAGTGTATTGATACCATGTTTAAATTTACAAGGCTCTTCCAATGGAAATTGTTTTAGGGTAAGCTTGAAGCGATTTCTTGATGTTAATGTTTTAATGGAAATTGGAAGATCATTCCAGTGTTTTACTAATGAATATGTTAAACTGTTTTTAGTTGAGCTTAGTTTTACTTTTGGAATTTCAAGTTTGTCAGAAATAACTGAACGTGTCAAATAAGAGTGAGAGATTGAAGAGGCATAATGACCCAGAGAACGAGCATAATGATCGCCCTTCAGGTCATAAATAAACATGCACGTTTGGAACTTGCATAATTTATGCACATCAAGAATGCCCAATCTTTTAAAGAGTTGTGAGCTACTTGCACGGGGATTTGAAAAAGTGGCTAAGCGAATAAATTTTTTCTGTAATTTTAAAATTGGATCTATAACGGTACTAAAAGTGTTGCCCCATATTTCAATACAATAGCTTATGTGTGG